TTTCTAAACTTATTTTATGTCATTTTTAACCCTGTCAACACTTCCTAAACTTATTTTAAGTTATTTTATTTACATTTGACAAATACTGTCAGAAGTAAAAAATTGTCATAAAAGTAGGTTTGACTAACTTTTAATGTACTCTAATTTAAGTTTGAAAACTAGTCAAATTGACTTTCAAAAACGCAACATAACAATTAAAAGTGGACAGAAAGAGTATTGTAATTAATTGAGTCACAATTAAAAGTGGACAGAAAGTGTATTTGTCATTAATTGAGTCAAACTAGCATTAATTAGTTCTTGAAGTAACACCTATATATACAAGGTAATATTTTGGAGATCGAAATATAATATTCTTCTGAGTTATTTTATATAATTTATCTGCTCTATCAAGGTTGAGATAAAATCTTCATACATCTTATTTTTCCAGGTTTTATTCATGAAATTATACTTAGTAATTGTTGTTGTTATCTCTTCTAATATGTTGGATTTTCTTTTTAATCTTTTTATTATTTGTTACTAATTTACTAATTTACTAATTTTATAATTGAATGAACTTATTGAATCTTGAAGATATTATGTTATTCAGTTTTTATTCATCTATTTTTAGAACAATTTATATTGATTTACATTTGAATGTATATCTATAAAGTTAGATTTAGTATGTTATTATTATTATGTCAAAGTTAAGTGGATCCTACCTGTCTTTTGACCAAATGGGGAATAATCATCAAGTTTTTTTCTTTAATAAAAACACAAAATAAAGCAAGCATATTAAATCTTAACCTTTTATGTTTATAAATCTGTCACAAGTAAGTAAATATACCAACAATTGTTCATTAACTAGATGGCAATGTAAATATTTATTACTCCATTTCCCTATTATTATTCACAGTCGTATTTATTACTACTGTATTAGTTTTTTCTACACTAATTTTTACTGATTTACTGTATTTTTTTCTTATACTAATTTTTAGTATATGATTTGCTTCAATCCAGATAATTTAAAATTGTATGTACATGAGTATATTTTTTAAATTTCACTTGTGAAATCAGCAAATGCAAATGATGAATTGATCGAATTTTTTTGTACTTTTTGCTGGAAAAATGGCAGGAAATCGTGGAATTAGGTTTTGGTATATGTTTCATCCATGGCCGGAACTGCCAAGGGACACCATACCGGAGAGGAAGGAGGAGCAGGAAGCTCCGAAGGCGTTTTTGAGCCGTCAATGGATAAATTTCCAGTCCATATAATAAGTTGTATATTGGAAAAACTGGATTTGGAATCTGTTTGCACCGCCGCTTGTGTCTCTCCGACTTTCAGTTCCGCCGCCGCACAAGTTTTCCCTTCTTTATCGTCTCTCGATCTTTCCGTACGTCAATTTTTTTTTCCTAATTGAATGCCCTAATTTTTTTGTAGTTAGATAAAATGAGTTAATTAGCAGCCTGATTGAGCAGAATACATATGAAATTAGCAAATTAACAAACACTAGGTGATTTCGTGTGTAGAGTTACTTGCTTTATGTTGTTGGTGGGAGGTGACATGTATTGCATGGAATTAGTCGAGGATAATAATTTCAATTCAATCATCTCATGTTAATGTTAAGTGAAATATGTTGTTCCTAGATTATCTAAAATCTTTTGTTGGATTTGTATACTTGATTGATTATTACGAAATGAAATGAGTGTGAATAGAGTGGATTAAAACTCCATGACTTAATGTAGAGGAGATCATTTAATTTAGGATTTAGACGTAGTTGATTGATTATCTTAAGATTGCTTTGACTTGGAGAATTTATTTTGAGTTTATTGCTGGTTGATTTAGATTGACCTATTTCGATGAATTTTAATAGAGTAAAATGCATGTGGAGAATGCGTATTGATGCATAATTGATTGTTCATTTAACCATCTTTAGTTTTGCTTATGCAATTTCTACTTCTGGGATGAAATTTTAATACTAGTATCTTTGATTTACAGGGACATTATCTGGATGAAGAAACTCTAAAACAAGTAGTGGGTAGGGTCCAAGGAGCCAATAGTTTAACTATTGATTGCCTCCAACTGAAGAATGACACCTCCATTTTCAATATTCTTGGTGAACATATCGAAGATTTGAGTTTGCTCAAATGTTCCTCTCTGTCTTACCACATTCTTAGTGCAATTAGAGAAAGGTGCCCCAACTTAAGGTATTCTGCCATGTCAAACTTCATCTTTGATACTTTTGACAATTCACATATATAGGTAATTGTTATAAGATGCTTATTTGGTTTATAAATTCTCGTCATTAATGTTAAGAGCTTTAGAAGTGGTTGCAATCATTTTGTCAGGGCTTAATTAGAATGCGTCAATCGCCTCTATTGATGGATTTTCAGACTGTTATTATCCTGAAATTCTCTCTGCATAAATGGATTTTATTTAGTTTTAATAGTTCACTTGAGCCATTACATTACAACTTGCTGAAGCTGATTTGTATTTTTTTCCCTGATATATCTGAATCACATTTGTTAATTTGTGAACCAATTCATCTATCTGCTGAATTAAAAATTTTTCTTTGTTGACCCTTGATGGTATCTGAATTCCTTTACGTTGTTTGGGTATAGAAAACTGCGAACTGTGTTAGCTTTTGTGCTTGGCATTCTTTAATTTCGCTCTATATATCCATCTTCAGAAGATGAAACAGTCAAGATAATTAAGTCCATTGTGGTTACACCAATAATATGTTACTTTCATAATCTTGTCATTTATCCCTGGATTTGTTTCCAATGTATGTTTTCTTTTTTTCTCTTTTCCTTTTTCTGAATCAGGTCCTTGCTTATTGAATTTGTTGGGTGTGAAGATCCACAACTTTTCAAAAACAAACTTACAGAAATGCTCCAAAAGTTGACCTTGTTAGAGGTGAAGTATTCTCATCTTTCACATACTTCTCCTTTCTTCTTCAAATTGTCCCCGGTGCCTCTTCAAGCTTATTACTCTTACAACAAAGAGTTTCTTCTTTAGAGAGTCAGTTTTATGATTTTTTTTCCTTTCCTGCAGGGGCTGTCCATAAAAATTCGAGGGACCTACTTTGATGTATTTGATATACGACCTCTTGAACTATTTCTGCCCAAGGGTTTAAAAAAATTGAAGTTACAGCAAACAGAGGGACACACATTTGTCCATTGGTTAGATAAGATTAGGGATATCCCTTGGTTCAACTTGCAAAGCTTATCTCTTGTCTTGGATGTTATATCAGATAATCTTCTCATGACAGTTGTGTATTCTCTTCCTCTTTTGGTGGAGCTGGATCTTGAAGACAGACCTTTTATGGATCCAACGGCACTGGACTTGACCAACATTGGAATGCAGTGTGTGCAGTCCTGCAAGCATCTAATTACCCTCGCAATTGTTCGAAGTAGTATGAATTGTCCCACTGCATTTACGAGAGTGGACAATATGGGCATGTTCCTTCTTTCTGAAGGTTGTGGAAGGTTGGAATCAGTAAAACTTAGTGGGTTCGCAAACGTTACTGATGCTGGGTTTTCGTCAATTCTGTACTCATGCCGGAAACTGAAGAAATTTGAAGTGTCAAATTCACGTCTATTATCAGATTTGGTGTTTCATAATATGAGAGGAGTTGCAAGGTCCCTAATTGAATTAAGGTTGTTATCATGCAGGCTTCTAACTAGTGAAGCTTTGGAGGAGTTGTCCTCATTGAGTAAGTTGGAGGTACTTGACACAAGTGGGTGCAGAAGCATTGCAGACCCCTGTCTCTTCGTCATATCAAGTGTTACTACACTCACAAAACTAAACTTAGCAGAAGCTGATATCACCGATAAGGGTCTTGCTTTGCTTGGTATGGGAAACTTGGGCATTACGCAGTTGTGCATCAGAGGCTGTAAGAGAGTAACTGATAAGGGAATTGAGCGTTTATTTCCTGCTGAAGGGAAAATTGGCAAGACGTTATCACTATTGGATGTCAGTCGCATGCCCGGAATAACTGATGCAGCTATATTTACCATTGCATCTGCTGCTAAAGAATTAACTAATTTAAGTCTAAGGTACTGCTTTCATGTGACTGATGCTGCAGTGAAGATGTTGGTGGATAGACCAAATCACAAGGGTAGTCTACTGCAAAAGCTTGATCTTTTTAAATGTCGAAGTCTGTCTGGTGATTCGATAATACTACTTATGCACAAGTCTTCTTTTCGTGGTTTGCGCTGGCTTGGTGTTGGAGGTACTCTGTTAGTCGATAAAAGAGACAATTTCTCCACAATATGCAATGTGCGACCCTGGCTGGTTGTGTGTTTTGATGGCTGCGAATTTGGGTGCCATGATGGTTGGCAATTTCATTAACAGAAGACGGATATTTTAAGAGGAAATTCAACAGATCAATATGGACCTCATCCTTGGCATCTCAGCGCGAAGTTCCTTTGTACATAGTAGTAACATTTCAATTAGGTACCTCCATATTTGAGTAGCATAAGTTGGTGATGCATGTTGGATTGCTTCCTAGGTTGCAACCCCTCTTTTGTGTCTCTACTTGTGCTTGAGCAAGACTCTGTTTAGTTTATTTAGCCATTTCCCCTAGTTTAGGCATTATTGTGCTTTATTAGCTCTCCATTGTAATGAACCTTTTGAATTACAAACACCCTGTTAAACCATTTTAAATGAACCATGATCACTGATCAATTATATTTTTATACTTATTTAGCCCTTATTATTAAAAAGTAGTATTCATTTCCTAACATTTATATCACAAATTTCAAGTCCAAATAGTAATTAAAAGGGGCAGGTTACAAAGGAACGTAAACATGTACTAGTAATCAGTTTTCGTTAAAAAAGGAACAATTAAACAAAGCGCACTTGCTTCTAACTTGTAAAGACAAAAACCTCAACCACTTTCTGGCATTTCCATAATTGTGTTGTGCCCACAAGAATAAAAGGTAATAACATATGGGGAAACTAAAACTAAGGCAAAACAAAAAAATTTACTACTTTGATTCCTATATTCCATACTTGTTGCTACAATGGAAATTAAATAAGAGCAAGAAAACAACATCTATTTTCAAATAAAAGCAGTTCGTCCGCCCCTCTTACTATGCCTGTCATATGCAGTGTTGAATTTGTACTGCAGCCATAAAAAAAAACAAAGACGTTAGATTCTTTATGATTTGGCTCATGGACTTCACGGTATCAGAGATGACCAAGTGCTTGCACTACAAAATTTGTGGTAATACTGGTGAAAACTTATTTACCATTACTTGCACTATTCCTAATAAACAGTTTTGACATGATTGACGAGCTTAATTGAGAGATAAAGTGACCTTTATGAACATAGAAGTATAAAATTATCAATTGGAAAGAGGAAAGCCCATGGGTGTATTTAGCATAACCTCATTGCTTCATACCTCTCTTCCGTATATCACAATAGCCTCGATTAAATACCTTTTATGAATTCTATTCCTTTTTTTATTAGGTGAGATAACTATTACCTCCGATGAATTTATTTCTTCTATCCGCTATAGTTATTAACATTATTATTATTCCACCAAGGTACACTTTAGTCCTAGAAACTATATTACACTGGAAGATATATCAAGAATGAAAATGAGAAAGAAGAAAGGGGGACAGAAAAGTTGATGTTAAAAGCTAGTTGCAATTTTTTCCAAATCACAGTATCTCATGATGATCAAATTAACAAAAAAAAGTTGTAGAAGCCTCAAACATCATACCTAGAGCAGTTGGTGAACATGGCGAGGTAACTAACTAATAATGTGTCGTTATACTCCTGCACAAAAGAAAGAACATATACAATGATAGAATCAGAAAGTAGTTGAATTATAAGATCTCTAATAACCAATTTGTAGGTCAAAACTCGAACTATTACTCACCATTTACAGATCTTGAGGTTCTTATCAGGGAACCAAAAAGAAGAAACCCAGTGAACTCTAGTGAAGATACACACACACACACACTCATGTATCTGCAACTCTACTGAATAAGCTCAAAATGCACTCACCATCGAGAAATCATCTCTGAATTTCTCCGACTCGATAGTTGGTAATCTTCTTAAAAGACTAGAGCCCTGCCTCAAAAGTGAATTATCACAAGGGATATCATCTGCACTCACAGAAACTGTAACATTAAAATCTTTGGATAATTGAAGAAACTCATTAGGAAAACATTTGAGGAGCAGAAATGTCAAGGGAAAAGACATTCCTCTTCACTTATACACAGTTTCTAAGGAAAACTTAACTTTTACTCGAGTTGTATAATATAAATATATAATAAAATTTTATGATGATTAGGTGAGTCTCCCAGTTAAAGCACTTCTTTCACAATCAATTTAAATGTAATTTCAAGTCCCAACAAGTTCTAGGTACCTTTTTGCATTGCAAGCAGATAGTGATGTAGCACTCTAATTCTGCTATTCAGCATCTTAATGACACTATGTATGCCAGTGAGGTGGGCAGCCACTGTAGAAACACAGAACATGTAAGTCCTAGACAAACTCTGCCATTGTTGGTAGTGGAGAAGATAAAATAGCAGGTGAGACTACAAGAAAGAAGGTGTTTCCCAACGATATTTTTTGTTGCCATATATTGAATGTTGTTGCCAAAAGTATTTTTGGCAACAATAAAAAAGTTGTTGCATGTTGTTGCAATAAACGCCGATGGGAAAAGTTTTGGCAACAACAAAATTTATTGTTGCCAAAAATGACTTAACGCAACCAAAAAACTTGTTGCCTTACATTTGTATAGTTGTGGCATATAAAAGTTATCGCAACAAAATCTATTGTTGCCACAAGTTAAACTATTTACCAACAATATTAGTTGTTGCAAAAAATTAGTAATTAATCTATTCGAAAGGCTTTTAGCAACAATAATTTTTATTGCAATAAAACAAATATTTTTCATACACCTTTAGCAACAATTTTTTTGTAGTTGTTATATACACATTACACATTTCTTTTAAAAAATTTACACAAATATTTAAACTAAAAATTATATAAATTTGCAAAGGTCAATACATAAAATTGATGGACTAGATATTTACCACTTCCTACAAAACTAAATACTTTTGCGTATCTCTACTAATTTTCAAAAAAATTATACGTATAAGCAAAGTCATTGTATTCTAATTCTACAAGCAATTTTAAAAAAATCTTCTTCCGGTAGTACTTGTACTGCTGGATTGTTGAATTATGCATGTTCATCCTGCAAATAAAAGATAAATATAATCATATTTTGATAAAGTCAACTATAAAATACACAAATATAAATTTAAAAGGCAGAGAGAATCACATAATATCTAGGTATATGTTTTAAGACTCATACGCCCAAAAATAACCAGTTCTTCCTAGGCCGCATTGAACCAAATAAAAGAAATAACAAGTAAAAGCCTAAGTATAGTGTTGTGCATCGACTCATTCCAACAAATTTAATCCCAGAATGGTAATTGTTACAATAGGAAGTAGAGCGTTAATGATCCAAGAAGTCTATCATCAAACTAAACTTTCAAATGACATTTATAATTTCTAACTATTTTTTTTACAAGTAGATGTCGTTCATATTTCTTCAATTAGCTATTTGTCTACACAATAAATATGTTACATAGGCAATATATTGCCCTTAGTGAATGAACAAAGAGAACCTTAATCCTATATACCAGCTTATAATGAACAAGAGCAACAAGTTTTTTCCTTATGAAGTACTTAGGAAACACTAGTCATTATTGACACAATCTTGACCAGTACAATCTCTACAAATTTTACTTCACTCTCAAAGAACAAAAGTGAAGTAACCACATGTTTACGTAAATATAAGCAAAAAAAATGATGTTTCTAGTTATTCAACTGTTTATAGCTAAACTGAGATATCAACACATTTATGAAATAAATTATAAAGGAAATAGATAATTAATACTAAAGTGCTTTATCAAGTGGCAAATAGATAAATAATACTAAAGTGCTTTATCAAGTGGCAAATAGATAAATAATACTAAAGTGCTTTATCAAGTGGCCATATCAATTTTTTAACAAAATTCAATTGGACTCATTAGACTTCTATTTTAAAACATAAACTAGTTACACAAGGTGAAAAAGGAACCAAATATCAACTCCAAGAATGCAATTAACTGCGAAGCTACTAGATTTCCAAGACACCTATTTGATCTAATTTCACTTCTCTTGAAACTTTCTATAGACATACATTGATCAATGACCATAATTATGCAAAGATGTTGATTTATAGCATTCATGATAGACTACTATACTATCATAGCAGACACTAGAATATTTTCAACATATACAATTGCATAAAAAGATCTCTTAAAGACACGATTTACCTGTTGAAACATTTATTTCATTAGTTTTCTTAAACTAGAGTTTTTTTATCACCACAACAAGCTCATCAATACAAGAATTAGCCATCATGAAAATTAGAGTGACTAGAAATATTGATTATTAGCTTTAAGTGTTATCTAGACATAGATCGGATGCAAGAGTGGCTCTTAGCATATTATGTAATCTGGATAATCATAAAGGACAAAATAGGAGGGACCAACTAAGATTTAATTGCAAAAGAACAAAACAAGAAATAAATCTAACTAATTATTACCTTTTAGTATGTACATATAGAACAATCCATTAATCTTAATAGAGAAAAATGGAAGTAATATGTTGACAGGTGCAATCCCATTCCAAGATCAAACTATCATATCAAAAACTGCATTCAGTTTCTAACTAGGAGAGCAACAACTAATTTCATCGGAGTCAATTCTCACTGTTTTAACTATACTTGTCAGTTACACTACTCCAATCAATTATTTCTAAACTTTCACGATTTTATCCTTTCAGCTGAGCATCTTTGTATCATTAACAAAGCTTGCGTAACTAACTATAAAGATTGTCACCAAAGAACCCCAAAACCATTTGAAGGGAACCACATCAAGCAAGTCTAAAATGTACATGTGAGTTCACAATGTAAATACAATTTGACATTTGGCAAGAAACACTTAGACAAGTATCTTCCAGAACAACCTAAGGTTTGAATAGCATAATTGCGACTCACCTGTAGTTAGTGGAATTTCACAATGCGCATATCTTGTAGCAGGGGATTAACTTTGTTACCAAGGTACTAAAGGCTTCACCAAGCTCAGACAGCAAACCAACCAATTTAGGCGCAGAACTATAGACAACATCCACAAAAATATTGCTTTAAAAAATGTATTAGGTACGAAGATGAAGAAAAAAATATGTAAAGATGAATTAAATGTTAACTAAAATCATTACGCCAACGCTTCAAACAATGAGAGCACAAAAAGACATATAAAGAAGCAGATTGAGGTAGAATAAACAGATCCAAAACAAAAGGAAACATTGAATGCATCATATTAATGCGATGCCCTTCGAAAATTCATAGAAGAGGCTAATGCTCCCTCAGAAAGAGATGCTTATAATTTAAACATAGCAACATTTACACAATGTTGTACAAGGCTCACTATGGTGATGCTTATACAATCAAGATAAAACATGAAACTCATAAATCTCACCGTTGAAGACTCGTCATTCAACCAGTTAATAGAATACAATGATCAACAATGTCAGTGGACTGGAGAGGAGTGAGGAGCAAGAACACAAATGCAAATGGGTTAGGAGACTGCCTGATGAACAGAGAAGACTCTTTATCTAATAACCTTTTTGAATTTCACTCTTATGTCCTATACAGCCCATATTCACAATACAAAAGATTGTCAAGTTAATCATAAAAGAAATCACTAAATAACTCCAAAACCACAATGCACTTCTTAAAGATACACTTTCAAAAGAATACTGACCTTCTTGTTTATCGAAATAATGAATTTTTTTCAAAAGAAATTTTTAGATTTGATGACTATTAGTATACATTATTAGTAGCATGCATTGATTGCCTCCTGTTATTTGTCATGCCACAAGAATCCTATCAAAGCACTAGAATCTAAAACTTACTCGATACAAGTAATTCGTAATGACTAGGTTCGAAGGAACTTAAGTTCCACCATTTTTGGTTCAAACTTGGCTTTTAAATTATACTTATTAAAGTCTAAAATATGCTAGTTGTGAAAAGCCAAGAAAATCTTTGTTAGATATATTTTTTAAGAGAAATGGGATTGTAGTACAATTTATGTAAGAGAACATTCGAATGATGAGAATCATAAAAAATGAGTCTCTTGAAATACAACATCTAAAATTTATTAGAATTGATTAACTACTTCAACACACAAATAGATTTATATACATTTGACTTAAGATATTATCTCTAACCTTAGCTTTTATCTGAGAATTACAGATATAAGTTATAACAATTCTTTATTTGAACAAGTATAAGACACCTTTTAGAAATCAGATAATGCAATTGAGCAAATATAATTCAAGATAGACAGTACAAGTTAAACCTGATCAAATCTACCCAACTAGGTGTGCTACTCTGAACCAAATCTTATACGAGTTGAAATATATTTTAATGACCAATATCTCCCATGAGTATAGTACCAACAGCTTACTAGAAGAGTAATAGAAAAATAGAGAAAAGTATTCCTTGCTTTTTCTGAAAGAACTACCTAAACTACAATGCTCAAAATTATAATGCCTTAATCGTTTGATTGGAAATAAGTTATTCCGAAATTAATTATCCTAGATAAGTTATTTTACCATGTATTTGGATAACTTATCCCATCTCAAAGCTATGAATGGTGGGGTAAATAATCATAAGACTGTCTAATACCTCCAATAAAATGACTCTTAATAGTCCTCATCTTACAATTCAATATAAAAGAGATTTATTCTTTTTAGGCATGTAAGTAAGAATGTAGATAAAGTTCAAACGTGAACAATATAAATTGCATTCATGACTTTAACCCAGCAAAACCTCAAAGGAAAACACATTGATAATAGAAAACTAGATATCAAAGCTAGCAATTTTCAGTTTTGAGCAATGAAAAGGACAACTCAGAATAAGATTAGGCATAATCGACTAAAGAGAAAGTGAGAGGCGAAAATAAATGACCTTAGAAGTGCCACTGCATAGTGAACCCAAGAATCCCAAACAGGGGAATATGGTTGTCGATGTTATAAAGCACATCCCTGAGTTCTGTTCTAGATCCACCATCGACGCCTTTCAATAATAAAGATACAGCTCTCCAAGATGTATTTTCAACAATTTTATCCTAAAGATTCATCAACAAGAAAAGATATGCATTTACGTACATGATAGAAAATCGACTCATATGACCAGCAATACATGAATCCTTCCATTCCAAATGAAATCCTTACCTTGTGAGCCCGTCAATTTGAAGAAGACAAATGAACGAAATGCTGGCAGAAGTAGAAGGGATTCAAAGTAGACTAGAAAAGGCACGGACAGTGCAGAGAAGATGATGACATGAATTAGTGGGAACAGATCAGTCCCAATCTTTACCAGCCTTAATTCTTTGTAATTAAGAAAATAATTACATGAATTATTTTCTTAATTCTTCGTAATAGTCTTATCGGAGATGAAATCAGTTCAGCAGTTGAAAAGAAAAAAAATGAGAAACCCTAGAGCTAGATTGAAACAAAAAGAGGGAAAACTGCTAGAAAAAAGAGGGATATTTTAGCGCCTTTACTTTTCGTACTAAAATGGAAAAAAAGTTACTGCATACTTATCTTTAGGCCACAAATTAATTAGTTTGTTGAGAACAAAAATGAATTCTACCAAAAATATGATACTTTTTGCAACGATGAAAATATATTGTTGCCATTTCATTTTATATTTTATATATATTATATTACTCATTATTAATGTCAACGAGAAAATAATTTTTGCTAACAAGAAATAAGTTGTGGCGGAAATTTTATTCTATACCAACAATTGAATCAAGTTGTTGCCATTAATTGAAATTAGCAACAATTTTTTAGTTGTTGGTAAAAAGTTGTTGCCAATTCTACATTCTAGTTTTGTTAAGCACTGTTGCAAGCTTGGAATTGGAAAAAAAAAGAGGAAGTTAATGGTGCTCACACTGAGTTGCAGCAAAACCTCCATCAGATGGTTTAAGATGAGCAACATGATCAACAGAATCCGTTCAGCTTCAACAGTCTAGCAAGCAATGAGATATTTGAAAAACACAAAAGATTTGATTAAGGTGCTCCCAAGAACTAGTTGACAAGGCAAAAAAAATTGGTAGCTTGCTTGGACAAAAATAAGTTGTGGGATGCCATCAATGACGTGCAGCTCTTGGTACCAACAAACAGTTTCAAATAAAAATATTAGGCACCAAAAGAACTTATTTCACAAAAACAGCTGCAGCTAGATGATGTTAATAGATATATTTTATTCTAACAGGGACAACAAGACAAATTTCTGCCAATAAAAGTTGCCACATTGACTTCAGATATTTGTCATAGAGCAGTGGTCATATTGACTATATACGCACCACTTTCATAGATAGTAAGTGGCAGGTCCTTCTGTGCATAATTGATAGAAGGATTGAGAAGCAAGTACACAGGACTTTCATTGATATCCATCAACTGATACAAAGAAACATATAACAAGGGTATTTGTTGCCAAATACATAATATTCTTATTGTGGATGGACAATAACTAGGAAAGAAATACAATCTATTAGAAAGATAGGCAAATTAATCATCTCCAAATAAAGTAATATTTGAATCACAGGCCTTGACTGACATATCCTATCCCCACCCCCCAAAATAAAACTACCTTCGCAAACAAAAGAAGATGTTACAATAGCCCTACTCCACTAAATAATGATTGAGACCATGAAACATCAATAGCATTTTCTTTCCTCTTGTAATTCTGATGTTCAAAGATATATGATCAAATCATTCCCCATAGAGAGTATAATGCTGGGGCATCTCGGATAAACTGATCTTCTTGTGATAGTTTTCAAGGCACTAAATCATCCAAAGGTTATGGAACAGGTGTCAGCACCTTTTCTTCACTGTGATACTAAAATCATTTGAGGAAGAAAAGACAGAGAATATGACTATAATCTTTTTTATATACAAGTATTTATGTAACACATGCTTGATATGGTACAAATTCTCCACCTCCTATTACAATTTTTTCTTCACCTCTACCTACCACAAGTGAATTAAAAAGGCAGCCATTTGTTTCTTGAAAAGACACGATTTTTACTACTAAATATTATTTAACTTCCTGAATAGCACCATTCTATAGAATTTATAGTCATCTTTTCCCTTTTACCATCCTCTCTTTCGCACACGGAAAAGTACGAGTTACCTTGAGTTCTATCTTTCTCCTCTTAATTAACAAGCAAAAAGAACAAAAAGTGATAAATAAGTTTGAAAACAAAAGGAATTCAAATAAAAGTTTCCGGAGATGTTAAGAACTCACAGCTTTGTGAATAAGCATATCCGATTCTTGTGCACTCCCCGATGAATACCATCCCAGTACATAAAAGTTAGGGAAAACCTTCTTATCTGCACAAAACTCCCAACTTAAGTATTATGAGCTACAAACGTAACTGTAAGTAGAATTTCAACTATCAAGTTATCAAAAATCAGCTACAAGCTATTGTTAGTCTTAAACATAACTTGGTAATTGTCTATCTTAAGCATAGGTTGATACCTCAACAAAATAAGACAACTAACCTGCCACAACAGATCAAACACTGTTACAATGGCATAAGATAAACTCATGAAAGGATATAAAATTCAATCTCAACCTAATTCGAGTAGCAATATGGATGGTGGATCATGTGTATGCTTTATTCGAACTCATATCATTCTAATACAAAATAATTTGCCTTTTAAAACCAAATTAATTTACTTAAATTGGAATTATGAATTCTAAAGGTGAAGAAAACTTACAGAGCTCCTGCTTCTTTTCGAGGAAAGCGCGGTTGAGGGATCATAAAGAAGTTCGAAGCTGTTGAAGATCTCAACAGTACGACCACTTTGTACGCCGATGACACAACCGAAAACCCTAGGCGGTACAGAAGATGAATCAGCACTGTTGGTTACTACACCGATTGTGTCATACGCATTTTGGTTTAAACTTTGTAAAAGTCAGATAGAGGTCTATGAACAAAACGGAGACTCGGTAAAGAATGGAGAAATTTTTGAAGAAGAAGAGACACATAATGCTGCTGCTGGATCTGCGCAAAAAGAAATTGAAAACCATGGAGAAGAAAACAGAAATAGATATATACAGTATCATGTAGATTTGGCAATTCTGACCTCCATGTCTGAAGATAACTGTTCTACTGAAGATGCTTTCCTTGAAAACTCCATGTCTGAGGATAACCGTTCTAGTGGAGAGGATAACCATTCTACTGAAGATGCTTTCCTTGAAAACTCCATGTCTGAGGATAACCGTTCTACTGAAGATGCTTTCTTTGAAAAACACTTTAGGTATGTACGAGGTATATTTCCCTTCTTAACGTTTTCCGAGGGTGATATAGCTGGAAAAATAATATCTCTGGAAAGACGTTTCAACGAGGTGATGAATGAGTATGGAAATGATCCCCAAATGGAATGATTCTTTCGACGCAACGATCCATTTGGGGATCATTTCCATACTCATTCATCACCTCGTTGAAACGTCTTTCCAGAGATATTATTTTTCCAGCTATATCACCCTTGGAAAACGTTAAGTGGGGAAATATACCTCGTACATACCTAAAGTGCTTTTCAAAGAAAACATCTTCAGTAGAACAGTTATTCTCAGACATGGAGTTTTCAAGGAAAACATCTTCAGTAGAACGGTTATCCTCTCCACTAGAATGGTTATCCTCAGACATAGAGTTTTCAAAGAAAGCATCTTCAGTAGAACAGTTATTCTCAGAGATGGAGGTCAGAATTGCCAAATCTACATGATACTGTATATCTGTGTTTCTGTTTTCTTTCTCTATGGTCTTCAGTTTCTTTTTGCGCAGATCCAACAGCAGCATTATGTGTCTTTCTTCTTCAGAAATTTCTCCATTCTTTACTGAGTCTCCGTTTTGTTCATAAACCTCTATCAGACTCTTACAAAGTTTAAACCAAAATGCGTATGACATAATCGGTGCAGTAACCAACGGTGTTGATTCACCTTCCGTACCGCCTAGGGTTTTCAGTTGTGTCATCGGCGTACAGAGTGGTCGTACTGTCGAGATATTATTAAATGTAACTCCAAAACTTGAAAAAACACCATTTGAATCACCATGTCTGCTTAGTTTGGCCTTTCTATATGCGTATGCATATAAAAAAAATTGATAATCCTAGTGTCTGGATCAACTTACATACACCTGGACTAATTCCACGGGTATCACCTCCCATCCATAACAAATATCAGGTACTCTATCCACTGAGGCTAGAACATAAGAAGAAATTACCTAGTGTTTTTGTTTTTCGGGGATTCAATTCATTGACAACTAGACCACACTTTTGACGGTATACGGAATTTGATTGTGTATATGCTAAACAACCACAATCGAATGCAACTATATACATAGAAAAAAAAATTAACACGAATTTTGTTCATAACAAGAGACAGGGACGATTAATCTGAAAATATCAACTATAACAAATTCGCACTGAACCGAGAATAATTAACAAAACATTGACTTACCGCAATAAAATTCGAAATCAAAATGATGAGTATAATCGAATTAACATGGCCGGAAGAAGAAGAAAACTCAAGCTGAACAGAGATACTTGAATTCTGGATCGACACTTGAAAAGATAAAAGTGTGCCGGATTGTTGGATTTAGGGTTTGAGAACTGATGGACTCCCAATTGAGAGAGGTTGGGCCGGGTTGTAGGAATTTGGGTTTGAAAACTAATGGACAAGATTTTGCTTGTTTGCCAAATTTGGCAAAATTTTATGTGCTGGTCTTTAATTTATAACCATCACAAAAAATGATTTTTTCGTGCAATAAATTTATATTTTTATATCATATACTTCATCCGTTTAAAAAATAAATAAATTATTGAGACAATGCATATCCATTAAGAAAAAAAGTTTAGGACATAAAATAAACATTATTTTCCACTTTACCCTTTTAGTTATTCAAACTATTTTTGAAAATATAAATAATTCAAAGTAAAATCATAAACATGAACAATTCACTTATTTTGAACCGTGAAAAAAGGCTCAACATGTTACTTATTTTGAAATGGAGGGAGTAATATTCAACAAGTAATCTTGGGGCATCACTTCAATTTTTTAAAGAACTTATGTCCCGTAAAATATAACTTTGATTGCTTAAGGAAAAAAATAAAGATCAATTAATTTAAATGATTAGAAAAAAATGAAAGATCAACTCATTTGAAGAACAAAAAATGTAATTTTATGTTATGCTGTGTTGGAAGCTTTGTGAGAATTCTCATTTAAATTTATAATTTAAAAAAATATTGTATATATAATGCTAAAAACCTTAATGGCTGAATTCATAAAATTTGAATCTTGATTTTCTATTTAATATTGTACCAAAATTGTAATGGATATCGATAGCAAAATTGCAACGTGGTCTAACTTTAGAGGAAGTGCAAAATGTTCACATATGCGAAGCTATAAGCAATTGCTGAGCGAAACTTTTTGAATTATATAAACTCAAAAATTCTTCAATCTTACCTCAAGTTTTCTTTTATCTTTTTTTTGATCTGTTTTTCTTTCTGTCTTGTTTCTTTATTCTTTTTTTCTTTTTATCTATTAAAAATAACTAATTACATACCTATTTATAATAGCAAGAAATCAAATTAAATTAAGAATAGAAAACGTATTTCTATATGAATTAGGACAACAAATTCTAACTAGACAATAATTAAATAAATATAAAAAATAACAAAATAATTTTGAAACAACTTAGTATTCCTACTCCAATTTTGAATTATTATTTCAACCGCTGCTGAAATTTTTTCGTTAGATATCAACATATAAATACTTTAACATAATTTTTTTTATAGCTCATTGCGTGAATCGAGAGTACTTAAATCATAAAAACAAATATCGAACCTTGGACAAAAAAAACTAGATATAGCGTAGGTAGCTAGTCCTTGATGCCTAAAACATGAAGATATATAATTGGAGTATAGGGGTAACTAAGAGGAGGATTTCTGAACAACTTGTCAGCAACCAATTGACAGAAATTAGTGTCCATATTTTTAGCTGAAAAAGGGAGGTAACTAAAACCTCAATCGCTAAGAAACTTCTTGAACAATGCACATCATGTTAAGGATTCTGTGCACGAGTTGAGAGACCCCAGCCTTTGCAGTTTTCTTTTGTCATATCAACTCTTTCTACATAATTCATAACATACCCCCACCACTACTTTTCTTTTTCTCAAGCACTAGTCAAAAGGCAAACATCAACACATTGATATGTAGTATTAGTAGCTTAATCAGAAATTTCGAGTTTGAGCTTCTAGAGATAGATAAAGATTTGTTGGAAGTGGTATCTTTAAAGATGAACCTGTAATAAACGAATTTGAATTTAGTTAATCGTACTGCAGGTGTATACACTAATACCAGGTGGAAAACAAAAAAAAAGAAAAAGAAGAAAGATATACTAGCTAGACTAGTAGTATTAGTAGCTTACCAATTAAGGTTGTGGTCGAATGGTTTGGAGAACTCTTTCACTTTTAATTAGAGATTTCACGTTTGATCACCTAAAGATAGAAAAAGTTCTAGTAGAAGCGCGGTTCCTAAAAATGAACCCTGCAATACATGAATCTGAGTTTAGTCGGTCTAAATGCGTGTATACCCGAGACCAAGTGGAAAACAAAAAAATAAAGACGATATACTAGACTAGTGGTAGTAGTTTACCAATATGAGTTATGGTAGGATGGTTCGAGATTTCTTCACCTTATGATAAAAGATCTCGAGTTCAAACCCTGAAAATGGAAAAAATCATGTTGGAAGCATTGTTTCTAAAAATGAACTCAACAATGCACGAATTCAAATTTAGTTGAAATTTAATGTGAATATTTGACACCGAATGAGAAAGAAAGAAAAAAGATATAGGAGACTAGTATAGTAGCTTTCATTTTAGCCCCTACTCTGGCATCACTCATACATATTGTCTTTTGAATAATTGTCCCTTTGCCAAATCTCTAGCATATTATAAGGTTTTTGAATTTTGGAACATTTGGTCGTGTACATATATATGTGGTTCATGAACTAATGTACGTACATTTTTTGTTCCAATTATTTGAGATAGCTAGCCCTTTTAGATTCTCTTCAATCATGTCATCACTATAATCTAAAAAGTACATAAAATGCTTGAAGCAAATAGTATTATTCTCCATTACCTTAATTAAAATTTCAATGATCTGCTTATTCTGATATCATGTTAAATTGTGTGACTACTTTAATTAAAGCTGAGAGTCCTTTTTATTTACTTAATTATATCATTAGTAGATATAAAAACATTTAAACTTTTGACCTATAGGAAATTAATTACCAGAATAACTTTCCTTATTTTACTTTCTTTGGTTGGAAGGAAATATTCAGATTTTATGAGTATCAAAGTTAGAATACCCACTATGTTTACCTAACCATTTAATTTCAAAAGTGATCATATTATATATAAATAAAAAATATAATCATGAAGAGAAATTAGGCACAAGGAAAATTAACCAATGAAAAAAAAAATGAAAATAGAAAGTTCAAATCCTTTTGTGTGTGGGATCAAAGAAAACTTTAATCAACTTCTATTCCTTTGCATGCAACTTAATAAGTTATTAATTAAACATAATTTATCTTATTTTAATTAGCTACTGTAGGCTTTTTGCCTCTGAAATATTAATTATAAGCTCTTTCAAAAGCATTTTTGAGAAGATAACTAGAACAAATATGAAAGCTATATCAATAATGGAGTTGAAAAAAGGGCTATCTTGCTTTGCCCCCACTAAGCACCCCACTTTTATTTTTAAAAATAAAATTAAAGCCACCATTTTTTTTTCAAATCGTATTCACATTGGAGTCTGACTAACTTTAAATTTGCGTAGGAAAATCCCACCTGGGATAAAACGCTCACTAACAAAGAGGACTCTATATTCAGGGGACTCAAATCTGAAACCTCTGATCAAGGATGAAGAAATACTTATCACTCCATCGCAACCCTGGTCGATAAAGCCACCATTTTTCAAGTGAACACATCTCAGGGTTAAACAGAATATGCATGGATCTCCTCAAGCTCTTTTGATCATATTGTAACATTTTTTTTTCAGATCAACTTTTTAACTTTCTTCAAGCACTCAATTGCCACCTTTTCTTCACTGCAAAGTATGCAAATACTAAAATCCCCCACCCAAAAAAATTAAAATAATCCACTTTATTGCATCTTAGCTTTTAACATTAAAAAGGAAAAAATATTACTTTGAGAAAAGGGACAGTAAGAATCGAACTCACATCTATTTTGTAATAGACTCTTGTCGATAACACTAGACAGTAAAACTCTCAAATACTCAAATTTAATCATATCCATCTACTGATTGCTGAAGGGTGACAGATTGATTGTACTCCAACTCCCAAGAAATCCCTAGTTTGTCCTCCTCCTCCTGCTCCGCCTCCGACTCCTTTTACACTATCTTCAATTTGAATGTGACGGCGTTTTGAAGGGGATACATCTGTATCGGGTGAATAGTAGTGGAGAAATCATTTACTGATCAACTCTGATCTACGTCACTTCCGAGACTAGTACTGAATGTGTTATTCGTAGTAGGAGTACTAACATAAAATCCACAAAACTTGTTATTGTCATTGTTCTTGTTGTTGTTGCAATTATTCATGGTGAAATTACCGAGGAATATCGATGGATCGGTTGCAGTTGTTGTTGTTATTGCTCCGATCTGAGCTGCTTTTTGAAGTAAAGCTGTTGCAGACATATTTGCAGTAGAGGAAGAAAGTGAAATTTGTTGTTGAGAACTGAATAATGACCGAACGCTAATGTTTGCAGATGAGGTGTTTGATAATTGTTCTGCATTGTTAATTGGAGAGATTTTGGTCCCGATGAACTGATCCCAGTTGATATGGTTGTTATTATAACTAACTGGTGGAGCATTTGAATTACGTGATGCAAGAAGCGTATTTGCATCATAAACTGTTGCTGGTGCTGGTGAAGTGTGATGAAGAAGGGGGACTA